CACAGTGAGGCTTCAGCTGTCTGCTGATGCACGTACTGATAAACTGGACACCTCAGTGTACAGAGACCCAAACATTAGGCTAAAAACATAGAACGTGTGTTTCCATCACTGACTTATTTATTTTTAATGTGAAAGTGTTTCCTGTTATTTACAGTCTGGTTAGTTTGTCCTGTCTCAGCTCCTCTGAGGTCTGTTATCAGAACAGGCTGACGCAGCTTTGCCTGCACCACATCATTAAATAATATCGGTACAGGTTTTGATGTGATAACTGTCACCATATCAGTGACACGGACATATCATCCTGTATTTACATTCCCCGTCTTCCCTTCCCAACATCGGCCACAAGCGCAGACATGTCGCAGAGAGCAGCAACAAACGGCTCCACCGAGCGTCGCTGGAGCGCTTGCTCGACCCAACATCTGCTTAGGAAACCAGTTTCAGTTTGATTGTGTGACAACAGTGAAGCTCTGTAGAGTCACAAAGGTTAAGGTACTTTAGTTACTGTGAAACTGAAGCTTTATGCACTTATTTTATACTTTTACTTATATATTTCCATTGAAAACAACCTCTGCTGATATTGTGCTGCATCACTGCAGATAAAGCTGTGTCACCATTATTACACTATAATGATGCTGCTGGCACTTTGTGACTCCTGCTTTGACTCAGATCATCAGTAAGAGAAGGAGAGAAACTAATTTTCTATGTTGTCATAAAATCATCATCACACATGTTTTCACTGTCGTGATAGAATCTGTTGTTTATGAGGCAGAAGAAGCATCGCACAGTAACGCGGCTCTGTCACAGCCAAAGGGACCAAACCAGAAACTGATAACATCAGATCCCCGTCAGCAGGCAGACTTTCACAGTAAAATGTTCATTTGTGGAGAAATAAGTGAAATAAATAAGAAATAAAGAAATAAGTAAGCAGCTTTCAGGATGTGGAGCTGTGATGTGCTAAAGTCAGATTACTGTGCAAATGCACGTAAATCAAATAAAAAGGAAATTGTTAAAGTAAAAATATTATATTTAAACTTTAAATTTTTTCTGAATAAAGTTTTCTAGAGATTTGAAACAAGACTTTTTTGATTGACTAAGCAAAATTGATATTGGATTTAAAAAAAGCTAAAATCTTGTCCACTCTCTGCTTGTAGCCATGTGTCTTATATGTGCTAGGAGGGTCTGCGCTAAGGCTACGTTCACACTGCAGGAGAAAACGCATCAAATCCGACTTTTCTGACCCTGTGCGACCCATATCTGATCATGCTTTGACAGTGTGAACGGCACAAATCCGATATTTTCAAATCTGATCTGGGTCACTTTCGTATGTGGTGCTGAAGCCGATACATATCTGATGTTTTAGAAAGCGACTGCTATTTGATGGTCATGTTGCATTAAATCCGTCTTTTACGTCACTGACACAAGACAGACGCCAATTATCAGCGTCGGAGAAGACATCGCGAACGCTTCCTGGCCATCCAGTGAAACTGTTGGGAAGACAACGTTGGAGAAACGTGAACATTTTATTTGTTCTGTATAATCTGCAGATTCTGACAGAAATCTGCAACTATCCTTTGAAGCAGCGCTCCTCTAAAACAGCAATAAGGATCATTATTAGGTTATTTACATTATTATGTAAATAACACAACAACTTTATAACTTAAAGCAAAATTGGGAAACGTGAAGTCCAAAACAAGTCTTTATATTAAGGACCATCAGTCAAACAATACTGTTGCTCTGGGTCTAAACAGAGCGTGTTATGAGTGACGTCTTCTTTTGCGCACGCAGCCGCTTTGAGCGTTCACACTAGAGCGCGTTTGCTGTCACATTTTATTTGTAGTGTGAACGAGCAGACAAAAAAAATCGGATTTGATCAAAAAATCTGAATTGAGCATCAAGACCTGCAGAGTGAACGTAGCCTTAGTTTGTACTCCTCCCCCTGTGCTCCTACACATGTAAGACAAACTCGCTTCATTAGGACCACCTCAGCGTCACACACCTATTCTGTGTAACTTGATTTCAGGTTTCCAGATGACATCCAACGGTCTGCACTGATGACTGATGTCTCCCTCACGCTGCATGGCATTTTTTTCCAAAACCAGTGTGAAGGTATCCGTCTCCTCCTCCAATCCCAGCTGCTCTCCCTCCTGACTGCTGCACAGCTCCTCCTGCTCCTCTTTAATCTGTGGAGGTTCTGGTTCCTCCTGGTCCAGACTGGAGCTCCTCTCCTGGTCACAGAGCTGCTGCTCAGGGAGAACCTCCTCCTCCTCCTCCTTACAGACATGCTGCTGTGGGACATCTGGAGGCACAACAATATTTTTTAAAAAATGTAATAAATTAATCTAAAATAATTATTATTTTAGGTACTAACCCTTCGAATAAACGATGGAAAATGTCTTTGTTGTAGAAGGCAATGAGTAAAATACGACAAAGCTAAATGTCTCAAAATTAGACAAAAGAACAGAGTTCAGTAACACAGAAAAAACAAATAAGCTAAATAAAACAGAGCAGGTCTCATTGAGAAAATGCTGTGGCTCCCTGACCAGGAGAGGGCGCTGCACGCCGAGAGCCGCGACCTGAGCGATGTGGCTTCACACTTGGCTGTGAAACACACCAGTGTGAGCGGAATATTCATGTTTGTGTGGACAAAGGGCCTGACGGTGGGTGGAAAAACAAAACAAAACCAAAAATAAAGATTTTCCAGTAATTATATTCGGTGTCCAAACTTCGTATCAAACTTTTTTAAGGCAGAGAGATGCTTGAGCAGAAACTGTTCTAAACATGTGATGACTTCAGCTGCAACGAGCCAGAACTGAAGCCTTTAAATGGTAAAGGTTTACAGCTTTCTCTGCAAGCTGCTTTGTAACCCGCCGACTCCTTCCAATAACATTTTCAGGCTGTATAAAAACATCACGTGTTCCTGTTCCGCTCCATCGACCTCTGACTGCGCATGTTTACGTGGACAGTCATGGACAATAATAAACTGATAACGCCGCAGAGCTGAAATTTAAGTTCCAGCTCACAGGGACTCAAATGTTTCTCTCGCTGAACAGATCCTGACTGAAGCAAACATAAACACACGTCACACAGACAAACTCAACAATGAATGACATCAGACAGACTGCCAAAAACATTAATGCTGTTTCTCCTGTCACGGCTGTCTTTGTCCAGCTGACATCACTTTCTCCTGAAAGTGTCGTCACCTCTGTGAGATGAGCTCATGGCATTTTTATCTGTTTTCCTGGACTTTAATCCAACGCAGAGCTGTGATGAGGATGAGTCAGCTTCATGTCAGACTCACCTGTGCTGTGCGGCTTTATGTCGGGTTTCCAGGTGATGTCCAGCAGTCTGCGCTCATCCAGCGCTCCCTCTGCGGTTTCCGTTATCCTCTCCTTCTTAAACTCTGTCGCACACTCAGGAGAGGACATTTCTACTCCAACAGCTGAAATATTCCATCAGAGATACAAACACGGAAACGTTTTCTTGTTTTTAGTTCTCGGGTCTTCGAGCTAACGCTAGATGCTAACGCTTTCATTGTTTACATCCGGCAGATGTCACACTCTGAGGTTCCGACGGTGACACTGTCGGACTTTGGTTCCGCCCTTTTCCCCACAGGGTGCAGAATCCCAACTGCTCGGTGTTAGAAATAAAATCCCAGCAGCAGCTTTACACTCCACACAGATGTTAGATCTGTATGTATATATGTGTTCAAATATTATGATTTCAAACCAAATATAAAAGCTCCGTTTATGGAACTGGTGTGGGATGTTGAGGAGGAGTTAGGAGGAGTTATACTGTGGACTGCCAGTTGGCGCTGTATAGTTATTATATGACTTTGGTTTTTTAGAATTCTCAGGCTGGTTTCATAGATTAAAACTTCTCAGCTGGTTCCCCAGTCTCTGTGTCCTCCTCTGGTGTCTGTCCATCTGTTTGATAGCTGTTCTCCTGATGGAAAAGGAGCTCTCTTCCTTTCTTTTTACAGACAGCAAACGTAAGATGTGTGTCAATGAGAGGGAGACAAGTGCAACGGTGAAGCTGTAAGGATCAGAGCTAGTAAAGGTGGATGAGTTTAAATTCCTGGGGTCAAATATTCAAAGCAATGGACAGAGAGGTGAAGAAGAGGGTG